GATGTTCCTGTACGCTTTGAAGTCCTCCAACAGATTTGGCGAATCTCGAGCGCTCGTGTCGCCAGCTTCGTGCAGGTTCCTTAGCAGACGTTGATTCGGCGGTATGGGCGCCCACCGCAGTAGGGCTACAACGCGATCCAGAGCAGCTCTCAAAAGTCTTCTGCGTTCTTGTTGAACGTATCTCGAGGTTTTTTCTGCCGACTTGGAAAAAAGGTGGTTCGCAGCGCTACCAATAGCGCGAACAACAAGGGTCGCCATTTGGACGTCCATCAGGCGATGTGTGGCGGCGATGTGTAGAAGCTGCTCGGCAGCCATGGCATTGGCTCCTGCTGGCTCGCGCTGTCGTTCTCTCGGTTGATTGTTGCCCGGACTAGATCTATGAAGCCCACCCGCAGGGATTGTAGCCGTTCTTTGAATCAGAGCAGCTATGGTTCTCCGATTCGGACGCCATCCGACATTGATGGCGTGTTGAACGAGACGAGGCAGTTGATTGAGCGATTTTCGATTTCCCGTATCTTGGTGCTCAGTAGATGCCAGCAGTAGCTTGACCTCACAGACGGCTTGCACGGACAAGTGTGGCTCGATGCCATTTCCCAGAGCCTTTTCCACCAAGTCTGCAGCGAGATCGGGTCGGACTTGCTCGACGATCTGAGTCAAGACTGCCTCGTAGGCGTGTAAGCTAGGCTGACCGCCCAAGACGATGTCCTCGCCGACCAGTTGCTTGCGCTCCGAATGAGTTAGGTGCATCGCATCAGGTCGCGCGATAGTTTTTTGAAGCAGCGCACAGGCATAGTCCAAGTCTAGCACGGCCAGGCTCCCGATGATGGCTGCCAAGTCGTAGGAGCTCGGCATTCCATCGCGGTGCAAGATAGACCTAAAGGCAGCTAGAGCATTCTTACGGTCCCCAACGCGAAAGCTTGCATCTCCCAAAGCTGTCAAATCTCGATGTCCTAGCGTTTCGCGTCGATTCGCACCTCGAAACCGCCCAATGATAGTCTTCGCAAGCGCGAGCCGCTCTATTCTTGCGATGTCGTCTTGACTCGTCTCGTGTAACGTGTGATCGGTCAAAGCCTTGACCATGGCGGACATGCAGCTAGAGCTTCTTGATACGGCGCTCTGTTCTTGCTTGAGCGCCTCGTACTTCTGGCCCTGAAGATATTCGTCCAGAACAGGACCTTCGCCTGCCCAGCGATGCCAGAGCCTCTGAAGCACTTCCAGCTTTCTCGCAGCAGAGACCAGCTTGAGAACAGCGACCTGTTGAAGCTCGCTGAGGTCGGACACCACAAAGTCATCATCGAGGGCGTCCCAGAATCCCATGCTGCGACCCAAGCGGTCGATGACGAACTTCCTACCCAGTAGGCGAGAGTTGACAACTGAGAGAAAGTCAATGACCATGTGGAAAGGTATGCGTGGTGGTCCGAGCGTGTTACCTCGTAGATGCATCAGCTTCCGAACGATTCTTTCGAGCGCGGCATCGCTCAGCTTGGTTGCGTCTTCCAAAAGGGTGGGTAGCCAGTCTTGGTGAGCGCCTTGCGTTACCAGGTACGTCTGGGTGGCTGTAGTGCCCCAGGCAAGGGCCGGCAGATTGCCGAAAGACAGTCGAGAAAGCTGTTGGAGCGTGCTGCAAGCCGCCTCGGGGCCAGATTGAGCAAGCCTGATTCTTACGATCCTATCGGCAAGGTGTTTGAAGACCACGGACTGGTCCTTTCGCACTACTCTGCCACACCATCTCGAGAAGGTGAAGAGCCTTTTGATGGCGGCGTCTGGCTTGCCGAGCGAGATGTTCAGGCGTACGAGGAATGAGTGCATCGTCGCTTCAAAGCGAGCCTCGGAAGCGCTTTCGGCGCGCTGCTCTACTATCATAGAAGCATCGTGACGAGCAGAAGTTTCGCTTGACGTGTTGCCTTCCGTAGCAGGATCAGCAACCATAGATATCGGGGACCCTACGACAGACGCAGGAAATTCTCCGCTCATCTCCTCTTCCTCGTTCTGTGTCGCACTACGAGATGACTGGCGTATGAATCTGTCACTGTCGACGCTGGCAAGTCGAAGAGCGTGATTCAGGTTTATCGGGCCGTCGTCGACAGCTCTGATGATAGAGATGCACGCGTCCCTACGAGAGCAATACATCGCCTTTCCATCTCGGAAAGTTGGCGTTAGAAGTGTCGATGAGTCCATGTCAGCGAAGTAAGAGGTCAGCGAGCAGACAGCTTCGGCAGACAACCGACTATCCAGCTTCCAAGGCGTTCCTGCTGCGGCAGTTGGTTGGCCGCCCAGGTCGTGGCCGCATGCGCGATGGACAAGTAGCGATACCGTCTCGGCCAGTTCAGGTGCGTGTGTTTCGGCGAGACCTACTGCGAGACGCAGAGCGGAGGCTGCCTCATACATCTCTGGCAGCTGATGAGCAAAGACACCGTCCGGACGCTTGCCAAGGAGGGCCTCGAATGTCTGCGCTATGAGTGCTGGCTGCAGGAAAGAGGAGAGCAGCTGGCCCTCTGCTCCAGCGGCGGAAGAGACAAGGCCTTTCGTCTCTGCTTGGGCCGCGAGGTCTTGAAGACCTTTGAGCAAGCCGGTCAGACCTGCTGCTGTTCGGGAAGAAGAGCCTGCTGCGATATTCGGTGAGGACTGGTCGACGGAGTGCTGACTCATCGCGCCGAGTAGTGTGGCAGTGACAGAAGCGAGGCGTTGATGCGTCGCGGACCTGAAGAGCTCTTCGATTTGCTGCTCAGAGTAGGAAGCCATTACTTCGGTCTCGTGCTCAC